ACAGTTCAAACATTCTGTCCCTCTTCTTGAATCCATTTGCAAATCTATTTCAACAAACTCACCAGTAAAAGAACTAGTTCCGTTTAGTCCTTCAGCTCAACATCACATTCGAAAACCTTTCAATGTTATACTGCCAGTTTTTCTATTGTTTCTGATTGGACTGATACCGTTGAAAGATGTTAGTATCAGAACCGTTGGTGAAGGACTAATCATAGTTTCTAACAATAAGCTTGTATCGTTAATTTTTTCATCAGGATTTCGACCATTCGCATTAGCTTTACTGTTTATGAGGACTAATGTTAACGACAGTCAATTTCGATACACAAAAATCAAAACAAAACGTGCAGCTCAATTCGAAGATCATCTTAATCTTAATCGATTAGATACACCAAACTCACCCAATCAATATGCTATAGATGCAATGACTGCAATACTAGTTCTGTTTCAAATTTTGATAAATAAAGAGCAAACTAAACTTTTCTTTGTGGGTTTTCAAAACTCGTAAGAACCAAGTTAATGCAGTGAAAAGGTCCAACCGAGGAAAATATTGGTGTAAGTTTCAAACAACCTAAATTAATATTCAAAATTGCCTAAACCGTTGTTCAAGCACTTCAAAATTACAAATTCTGCAATCCGAAGTTAGTTATTGCTAGTATAAAATAATAGAGTAATAGTCTTAGTTAAACGATCATAGTTACTGATGATATATGCTACTGTCTCGATAAGTAAAAAAAAGAATTTACATTTGACTCAAAAAAATACCAAGAGCTCAGCTCTCTGTTTTGTTTAAGAAATTGTAAGCAAACAAAAGGCTTTAATAAAGTGATTTATGGTAAAAACCTAGGGTTAAAAGTTGATTGTTTCTAACATTTGCACCGATACTAATTCACACCTCCTGAATTAATTAAGATCATCTATTGAACACACCAAAAAAAGCAATTGGTCTAACAGAAGCGAAAGAAAGTATCAAACTCGGTTGATTAAAAATAATGTCTATGGTTAAAAAAAATTTTTATAGTTGTATAGAAGAAATAAGAAAAAAATACTGAATAAATAATTGGTATATTGAAAAATCGAAATGAAGCTGCGATCGAAATTGTTTAACTGGTCACTTTCATGTGTTTAGTCCTCAAGGGGCTTCGGACCCTTAAGAAGGGGAGTATGTGATGAACAAGGTTTAATCTTACAAATAAATAGAGGGTAGATAGCCATCTTCCCTACGCAAATATGAGCTTTCCAAAGTATCAAAAACTCCTAATTACCCTTAGTCCCTACCATGATGAACTTTAAAAAAGTCAGAGTTTACAAAAATTCGAAAGAGAAAGAAGAAAGAGAGAAGAAAATAAATAGCAAGAAGAAGTAGAATTTTAGTCGGTGTGGAAGTACGACCTGAAACACGGTATCATCGTTGATTAGTCTAGTTGTATTATATTGAATAAAGTCATTGAAAATCGATGCCCAACAGTTACTCAATTCATTCACCTTCTTCCACCATCATTACAATATGTCTATGTTGTAATCAAAATGGGGATAAACTTGATCCACTTATTATCGGTAAATTCAATAATTCACGAGTTTTTCAATCAAATAGAGAAATATTGAATCAATGTTCATTAATTTACCAAAATAACTCAGCAGCTTGGATGACAAAACATATTTTCTCTAATTTCCTGATGAATAGGAATGAAAAGTTGGAACAAAAAAATGAAAATATTGCTCTAATATTGGATAACTTCAGCGGTCACAAAATTCTTGAAACAGATTATCCAAATATTGAATTTATTTGGATTCCTCCAGGAACAAAAAGTAACCTTCAACCTCTTGACAATGGCATCATAAAGGTGTTCAAGGATAAATACATCAACCTTTTATTCAAGAAATTTTTCGATTTTTTTGAAAATAACATGAATCTATCTGAAATAGTGAAAAGTGTAAGCTTATTGAACGCTGTTATTTGGGTCTGTCAAGCTTGGCATGATGTAAGTCCATCAACAGTAAGAAATTTTTGGAAACATTGTCATTACATTAGAGAGTTTGAAGGTGAAGAAGTTGTTGATGAAGTCGATGAATATGATGATGTGATGATTGAACATGAAGAAAATCCAATTGAACAAGATCTTAATAACATATATGATCAATTACCAATTACATCTAAAGATAAACCTTCTTTAGTCCAATATATGGAGCAAATGTGTTTAAATAATCATAATTCCTACATTCTTGACTCTGTAGATTCAAAAGGCATTTGAACACGGTGTAAATATGTCCAATATAATAGTAAATTAACATTAAATTAACACTAAATTAATACAAAACTAACATTAATGTGAAACCACAAATTCAATATCAAGCTTACTGCCAAGACAAAGATGTAAAAAAGTAAGAAACAGCGTCTAAAATCACGAATTTGCCTTGAAAATAGACAAAAATCTGTAACCAAAGAGTCGCATTTTGAGAGGGATTACTGTAAATGAGTCAAAACCCGAGAAAAAGTCTCAAAATTTAGCCCTTAAATTTATTCCGTTAGATGTCCCCCATCAAAATTTGCACAACTTAAGTGAAACCTCTACTGTACTTTTTTTATTACAGTCATACCTCTCATATTGCCCAGCTAACTAGAGTCACCTATTAGTGTTCACTTAAATTATCGTTGATTCATTGAAAGCATCAATCAGTTGCTCAGATGAAGGTAATATCAAAGGACTTTTATTCATTCTTGAAAAAGTTTCTTCAAAATTATCATGATCATTGACTAAATCCATTTGAGAATCAAAATTCATGTAATCACAATGAGTCCAGCAATTTCTGCCATGTTTCAGGTACATATATTTCACCTTTCGTCCATTTATCCTCTTCTTTAGGTAGTCTTTACCTCCCAGTGAACGATGATAATTTATACCTACAAGTTAATCCTTTTAGGATGGATGAGAAAGGAAATGAAGAAGAAGCCAAGTTTTCATTAAAAGCTTTTCCAGTAAGTATTGTTTGTTAATTAAGATCACTAAAGATGTAAAAATTTCAGCAAAATTACGATAATCTGGACTGAAGGAATTACTTGCAGCTTATCAACATCTTATTGACATCTTTAAGAATAAAATTCAATAAAGTTGATCAAACTTGTCAGTGTTACTTTTTGATTATGATTAACTAACTTGAATTGATTAACTGTCAAAGCAAAGTGAAAACAATTGTTATTGAATAACGCTGCGATCCTATTCTGATCAACTTGAAGGAAACGATAGTCAGTAGTTAAATCATCAGTTTTTTGCTTTTCCACAGACAAAAGTTCTTTTCAATTTTGAATTCGAGCCCTACCAAATAGCCCGGAATAGTTTGATTTCGACATTCTGATTAATAGCAAACCTGTAAATTATCTGCTGAAAAATAATTCTGGAAATGAGCCAAAAACATCAAATCTTCACATCTAGACATCGGGGCTTATCAGAGCCCTTTAAAATATGATTATTATTACCATTTTCCTTGCTTAGTCGTGTTCATCTGAACCACAAAATTTAATATTTAACCAGAGGCTTAAGTTGGTAATGAAAAAGAAAGTGAAGAAGAAGAGAAAAGAAACAAGAAAAAAGAGTAAGAATATGCATACTTTTAGTGAATGGATCCATCAGAGCGTAAAATTGGACTAAATCGAGAGTGAAAGGCACACCACGTTGGTGGTTCTCTCTCTTGTATTTCATCTCTTGCTTTAATTTATTTCAGTTTCTCATCAGGTTCATGAAGAAGTTATTTGTAGACATTTAACCTTAAACTGTGTTAATTTCGGTTACCCGTGTTGTCTCTTTGTGCACTTTCTGGGTTTCAATGTTGAAGAGATATTTGGAAAGGCAGTTTCATTAGGTAAACCCAGTTGGTCATTAATTGACAGGAAACTCGCTAGTGAGAAAGCGTTACCTTTTTGTATGTCTTTGTTGTTTTATCAAGTAATTCAATAGCTAACGAATCTATGGAAAATTTATCTCAAATTTTATTTTATTGCTTAAATTACGACTTGAAAAATTAGTGCAATCAATATTTCAACTCACTCGATAAACTTGTCAAGATTAAATTCAAAATAATTGAGTTATAATACTAAAACTTTATTCTCATTTATCTGTACAAAATTATTATCATGTTAAAAGTTGAGCAATTTGAGTAAATTGAGATGATTCGTGTGAAGATTGAGACGAAGATGAAAGTGTAAAGATATTTACCGAGAACAAGAAAAGATGGAAACCAAACTATTTTGAGATTTAAAAGATGATGATGGTGGTGATGATGGTGGTGGTGAAGATGATATTTTACTCTAATCTCTATCTACTATCCATCTATCCTTTATTGAAGTCAAGAAATTAATACGAGAAAATAAAATGACTATAAATTTGGCTGAACTCTTTTATGATGTTGTTGAATTTACTTTTTTTAAGCTTACTTCCGTAACTTTCATTTTGCTGCTTTACGTTCCTAGTAAACACATTTACCCTGTATTTACCATCGACGAAGGTTTAAACACTAAGAGAACACATAAAGACGCCCTTTTATTAGTAGACCTCGTGATTGACCCACGTTACGAACAAACCTTTAGGCTATTTCCTCTTCCATAGACTTACATGGGAATCTTAACTTCTCTTTTTTGTTACTTGTTAAAAAGTTTACCCAGTTTCTCACTTTTCAAGCTAACCTTACCTTTTAGTGAAATCTTAATTCCTCCAAATTACCTACTTAAATCCTCCCTTCCAATTGACATATTTTTTTAACAAATTTACTTTCCTTTCTTTCTGTTGCCTTACAGAATCCAATATAATTCGGAGGAGGAATGGACCAAAGCATTGAAATATATGCTTACAAATCTGAAATGGATATTAACTTGGGTGGCTCGACCTGAAACAAGTGAAAGATGTGACTCTAGCGTTTCCACCACTAAATAAGACATCAAAAATTGTCGATTTAGACAGTTATAGTTAATTTCATTACAAATATTAATAATTGTCCTTTCTCACAACAAATCAAGCATAATTTCACTTTTATTGATCTCATTAATTGAGTAAAAGATAAAAGTTTTTTCATCTATTTTTCATAGACAAAAATTTGTTTTTCATTTATTTACAATTGTATAATTTTGTTAAAAAAATGGATGCAATTTGATTTCTTCCATTAAATGCACGATGATGATAATGAAGATGATGATGATGGATATGTTGATGGTAGAGATGAAAATGGCAATCATGATTATTAGGTTGTACAATTTGATATAAAAAATGCGGTAACAAAGTTGTACCTTAAAACTTTTCTTAAATGTTTGATTCAAAGTTAGTTTCAGCATATGTGACCAGCTCATGTTTTTCACATTATTGTTTTTGGTTGAATCCTCAAAGCGCTCGACTGCAAAATAACAAAAACAGATACAAATGTATTCACAAGTTGGATTCAGCATTGATTGGACCGAGCAGCCAAACAAGAAGTGTGCAAGACCCAAATGGTGTCCAGAATCGGGTTCAATCGGATTTCATATTCATTTTTTTCAGATGCACAGGTTTCGTTTAACGAACACTGGTGGAATCACGAATACTCCTGGATCCGGATGGAAACATTTCCTTGATTCATTAGGCCGTCATCTTCTCGAAGACAGAGATGGTTGATGTGTTTAGTGACGAATCGGTGGATTCAATAATGAAATTTATGTTGTATGAAGAGTAGGAAGAGTGCATTTTACAAATGCGATTGATGGCTTTCAGCAGATCAAACAGCTTGGGTTGGCGGTTCATTTTACTTCGTCGATTACTCGATGTCAGTCATATTTTTCAACAGGCTTATGAGTTTTCAAATCAGTTTAGATTCCTGCATGAACTGAGCATCTGACCGAGAGAAAAGTAGAGATAAATTTGAAGAGATTGTTGCATTTGTTTGGTTTCAAACAAAACTGGAACAGTTTTTTTCTGTTTGATTGACAGGTAAAAAAATGAAAGTAAAATAGGAGGAAAAAGTTCACATATTTTGACGGTGTATCACTTTCATTTGCATGTATATATCGTCATTTTGTGTGTGCATACATTGCAAGTTACTTCACAGCACCAATTGAATCGACAATTACAGCTCTTTTTGACGGGTATATGCACTTTTTTCGCACCACGACCACAACAAAGCAGATCACAGCCGTCAATACCCTTTGATGTAATATTGCATTCACGTCCTTGAGTGCCTAAAGAACCAGTTGATCTATCAGCTTGGCAGAAGTTGGGCGATTCCTCTAAGTAAACCAAATCATCTAAACTTGGTGATTTGATTGAGCTGATTTCAGGAGTAAAACTGCGACCATCATTTGTGGCAATCACTTTTATAGCACCATCAAATTTGTCTTTTAAAATGGCCCCAACTTCACGGAAAGGTGGTAACTTATACCAACGCGTTTGGATTGTACAAGATCCCGACATTCCGTGGCATTTATAGGCTTTTTTCATGTTCATTTTGACTGCCTGAAAATTAGACAAGGAAAAAACAGAAGGATTATTTCGATGTAAACATAGAGGATAAAATTGCCACTTATTTTCAACATTTATAAAGCCAAAACAGGTCACTTGAGGTAATGAAAATACACAATAAACAACTGTCTTATAAGTTTTTAAAATATTTAGTAAATTAAATAAATTAATAATTCTAGAATCTAGATTCTAAATTAAATACACAACAATAATAAACAATAAACGCTCAATAAGTCACTGTCTATTCACTTACACTAGTTTCACGCATATGTTAATTTTTGATAAGCGCCGTCTACTATACTACTAATAGTATAATTAAGCATCTTAAGTATAGTAGATGGCGTTTATCAAAAATTAATTTACCCGAAAAACGTTTGATTTTGAAGATAACAGCTAACACATTGAGCATAGCAGTTTCTTTGCCTTCAAAAGAAATCGGTTTTTATGAAAATTCATATTCAGTGAACAGTGAACTTGAATTTTTCATTCATCAAATATGGATTCAAATTTGTTATTGTGTTTGTTTTTTAAAATATGAAAATAATCACCATCAAGCAATGTTTGGCTGATTAAATAAATTGACTTACCAATCGTCCTGCTTCATAGTTGTGCCTTAAGACCATCGTTTGGACATCATGGCCACTTTTCAATCTACTTTCCAAAAATTCTTTAGACATTTTATATCCAAAATCAACATTATCCCCACAACCACGGAAATCAAAATCTTGAGACAATGAATTATCTGATTGAGGAGAGGACATCATAAGGCAAGAACAATCGAGAAGAGTTCCTTGGCTACACGCTTTAGCTAAGCTATGTGTCATTCCAGCTGCTGTGATAGCATGAACGAAACCAGTCTCCCGAGTATCTGAAAAGAGTTCAGTAATCAACATTCACAGTTTTAGTGAAAATCAAGCAACCTTCAGATCATCTGAAGTAAATTGAGGAAACAGATGAAAACAAATGGAAGAAGAATCAATTCAATTTGGCAACATTTTCAACTTTCGGTATTTTAATTGATTCCTTATTTAATAACACCCTTTCTTCCTCTCTGTCTTCACTCTATTCGCGTGTCTTCTTTCTTTTAAAATAACAATCAAATCAATTAATGCTTGCCATGTTATTTGTTTCTTCTTCCATATCAAATTAAAAGCTTAAAGCTACTTCCAGAAGTGGGTGAAGAAAACAGACATCTTTAGACGTTTACCTTTCAAAAGGATCTTCCTCATCGACTTTCGCGTTGATGGACAATTCCATTGACGATTACGGAACTGAAATTCACACTCTTTACGGGCAATTTTAGCACCTTTGGTTATTTCCCGAACGATCTCCGGTCCTTTTTCACAAATACTTGTTTGTTTACTTTTCAATCGACCTGCTTTACGGCAGATTTTATTCGGATCTAAAACAAGTTTCATTCCCGTACTGCCGTGTAAATATACAAGAAAAAAGGAAAAGAAAAGAAGACAAGATGAAGGGTGAGGATCCAAGTAAACCAATAACAATGTACAAGATAAGTGTAAAAATGACGATGAGTTTCCTTCTTCTCTCTTTCCATACCTTTGCGATACATTCTAGTAACAATGTTAAGGTCAATCTCTTACACTTCCCTTTACAATTGAAGTATTTATTGAGAAATTGAATCAGATCATGCATCAATCATTTAGTATTTCATTTGTAAGTTATTTGCTTTTTTATCAATTTATCTCTCTAACTAACCAACTAATGTTTAACTTTTTGCTTTTCTCAGGGTCAATTGAGATGGTAACAACTCTTCAGAAGTGTTTGGAGCAATGGAATCGGATGACAGGTTAACTTAATTGGCCAATCACTTGTTGAACAAAATAAAAGAACTAAATTTGCTCAAATTGAGGGTAAATCGATTTGCAGGAAAAGTAATCCTTTTGTTTGTTTTCAATCAACCTTTCATGTTGTTTGGACAACAAAGCAAGTATATGTATTTGGTGAGTATTTTTCATCTTCTTCGCCTCCCTTGTTTTTTTTCAAACAACCAAATTAACCTATTCTCCTTTTTTTCCTGCTCAAAGCTTATCGCCACTTAGGTGCTCTAAAGTTTTAAATTGGTTTCAAGTTAAAATATCAAAAAAAGGAGAAGGGAAACAAACTGATTTTCAATTGAAGAAACGAAATGATGGAATGTCAATATGGAAATGGAGTGATGTTCGCGTGATACCAGCTATAATCACGCAAAATGTTGATTCAACATCGCACCATTATCATTGATGAATGATCAAAGGCCAACAGAACAAAACAAGAAAGAAAAGACAAGAGAAGGAAAAGTAAAAAAGTTAAAGGTTCAATACAAATTCAATGGTTATACCTATAATAGAAACAATGATTTATGATTGATTGGCTGAACAGTTTCTTTCTCTGATGGACAAATATCATCTTCATCAGCAACATCATCATCATCCAGCATCATTACCATCATATGTAATCGTCATTTATAGAAGCTTCATTCAGACCTTTTTACTATCTTAATTTAACTCTCTGAAAGGTTGAAGAAAAATATAATTTGATTGTTAACTATATCATTATATTTGACATCAAGTCTGTTTCTTCTTTGCCTTCTGTAACCAGAATCATTTCATAATTAGTATCAACACAAAATTCAATTGAACTTCTTTTAACTAACAACATTAACATCAGCAACAATCACATTAGCACAAACAAACAAAACTATTTCAATACTTATCTATACTTAGAGTATTACCTTTTTTTACCTATTATGCTTCAAGATGAATGCGTTTTTAACACAAAAAAAACTATTTTCTCGTAAAATATTTATTATCAAACACTCTTATTAGTTGTAAACAATTGATCACACCTTAAGTTTTATTGCAAAATGAGGAAGAAACCATATTACTTTGGGTGAAACGAATTACTGAATCAATAATGATATTTGCTTACTGAACAATCTATGAATAGATGATTGGTAATGATGATGATAATGATGATATTATAGGAAGGAATTTTTGTGTTGAATCAAATTGATTGTTACAGAGAGACTAAAAAGAGTCATTTCAACAATCAAAGGATCAACTTGAGTTTTGAAAAGAAGAGAGTCAACATTTTCAATGATTTATACCGAAAATTGATGTTAATTTTTCAACTTCTCCTGTTGCTACATCTCATGTTTAGTGTTGACCGATGTTTTGTTTTGTTTATGTTAAACCATTGAATCTAATTGTAAGTAAACCAGGTAACAAACTCAAAGTGACCTATCAATTCTTTACATTTTTCCTCGTTGGTTACTGTCAAGTTTCCAAAAATATCTTGAAATACCAAAGATGCTAAAGGCCATTTGGACAATTTTCACGTCCATACTAGTCAAGTGTAACTAATCATTTTGTTTTCAAGAATAACCTTTAGTATCTAATATTTTTTTACTCCTCCTTAGGATTGACCCATTGTTACCAAGCAAGCAACAAAACAATAAAAAAAGGATAATGCCTTTAACTGTATTCAACAAGCATATTGATCAGATAATGTTGGTGCGTAACCTGGTTTTACAAGGAAATTTTGACTAAAAAATTTACTTGTGTACATATTTACTGGGCATTTTAATCATAATGATTTGGCCGTAATCTTCAACATGCATTGAATATTTCGCTTGTCCATTCTCTTTGGCACACCTAGCGAAACTTTACATCTCAATCAGTGTTTGGTTATCAATAATGGCTGCTGAAGGAAATGTTAGTAAATAATAGTAAAATCAAAGCTACTAATAGCTAGTAATTAAGGGGCGTCTGAGAAATAGTGGAACTAGCTTCAAATGTAAAATTACCGACTTTTTGCAGGGATATTAAAAAGATTTTGATAGAAAATAAAAGATAGCACTTGATTAATTTAATAACAAAAGTAGATTTAATTTCGTGAATCAAACATGCGAAATAAGGTCAAGCGCGATGCAATCTCAAGTCTGATTATAAAAGAAATGGGTGAAATTATCAAAAAAATTGCTGACCGTTCTGGACTCAATCTGGTGAAAAGTATTCGCTCAAAATTTTTGAACGGGAGTTTATGCTAAAAATTTGACTTTTGAGTTAAAAGTTGGGACTTTGTAAGTTTGTAGAGGCATAAAAACTGGGCCCATTAAAAATTTTTCAAATCGACAGTTTTCGACGAAATCGACGCCAAAGTTGAAACTCCGATCGCCTTTTGTTCAGTTATGTGACCAGATTTTCATAAAAATCATTCTTCTGATGTAACTTTCAATGCCAATCAGGGAATGCAATTATTTTGAGAAATAAAGTTTTCTGCTTCTACACGAAAGATCCGATTTACGGATAAGTTATTCGCTTTTCTCGCGGATCATAGAGAATTTGCTGAAACTCACTTTTTATCGATAAAACTTATTGGTGAACATGGTTGGTTGGAAACTTTTCGATTCATCAACAGTTTTCTAGATTTTGGCCTTAAAACTTTTTATGCCCTATAAGATCACATAACTAAATATTGAAGAACTTGTCAAAAACTGTCGATTGGAGAAAATTGTGAACAATTTTTGGTGACAAGTTAAGGCACCAACAGTCGCTCATTAACATGGCTTTTCATTTTGCATTAAGTCATATTTTTAATCAAAAAGAATAGATTTTATGCCGATGCTTTTTCCCATTGAAAAACAATATACTTAAAGCTATCTTTTATGCAAAAATGTACATGTATGAACATAAGCAGACAAGTTCAGAAATGAAAAAAATCAAATTCTGGTGATGAGATTTTATCTTGAATGATTTGGTTTTAAAGTTTACTTGCAGTTGTTTTTATATACTTTCAATCGAGCAAAATAGCCGCAAAATATTCCTGAAAATTAATTTCTATTCTTTTTTCTGTAAAATATATCGATAGAATAAAAATCTAGAATAAATATTTATCAAGAATATACTTTGCCTTTCTCTGGGCATAAGATAGACAAACTGTATAGCAAATGGAAAGCCCTACTCATTAACCATGTTATTGAGAAAACGATAAAGATATTTGAATGAAGACAACAAAACAGCTAATGGTGTGACTTTTACAATAATGAGGCGGTTGAACACACAGTTTTATGCCTAGTGTGTTGGCCCACAGGAGAGAAGAAGACATCTTAATTAAGGTCTTAAGGCCAGGTAAATATACTCATCAAGTTTATGCACATGGGAAGGTGGAGAAGGAGCGAGAAAGTAAAAGATAGTTTTACCTCTTCATCTTCTTTCTCTATCATCTTAAACTATCATCTGTATCAAGCTTACCAAAAATGCTCATCTCACAAGTCGATCCACAGAGAATGTGTCTTCACCCACAGGTAACACTCACTCGGTGGTCCTCTTTGTGTTAGTCTTTTATCTTCATCTTCTTCTTACCTTTTCTTCTTGCTCATCATACTCACCATCATCTTCATTCCCTCCTCCTCCTTCTCATTCTCATTCTAATTCTAATTCTCTTTCTTTTCTTTTCTTCTTCAGCCTACCTAATTCATGTTCTCTTCTTCAATCATTACCTGCAAGGATTACAACTATTGGATGATCTTTGAACATGACTGTGGTCATAATAGCAATTCATTTAAGCGATCTTTTCCCGAAAAGAAATATTGTCCACGGTACATTGGAAATAAGCGTTAAGTAGACATGAGAAGCTCAATGTTCCCTTACAAAAGGCGATCAGTGATTACCCTTTTCCTTTCCTTCAAAAATACATTACACATGTAAACATATTGTAATGCAAAATGTTTAAGAGTTAACTAATGGTGGTTAATCATTCATTTCTCTCTCTCTCAGTTTAATGCTAAGTAATTTATTAACCACTATTAATAGATGATAATCATAGTGAAAAGTAGCTTTTCTGTTCAATTGGCCAGCGATTTGAGTTAAACTTGATTCTCCGTTAAATCTTTTCATATTCATTTCTCTTGACTCTATTTTCAAATGTCAAGTATTTTCATTGTCTCTGAGCAAATAACTTTTTGTTACAAGAAACATCATAAAAAATGAAGTAACGAAACGGTTTTGTATCAATTAACGGCGTTAATTGCACAGCTTAAACTTAGAGCTCAAATGTTGTTAAGCAGTCCAAACAAATGCACAATATTAATCAATGAAAAACCTTTAATTTTGATTTATTCAGTTCTCAGGAAATTCAATTAGCTATTCCGATAACTAGCAAGAAAAATTATTCGTTTGCATTGAATTTTGTATAATGCTTCATTTTGATAGCTTATTTGTTGATTTCCCTACAAAATTCAATATAAAGAAATAATTTTTCTTAATTATCGGAATCAACACAGAGTTTCATATGATGCCTGCAAAACTTTTTTTCGAGTTTAAAGCTGTAGTCAGCAGCAAAGGGAATTTTTGATAAGAAAAAAACAATTTTACAGAAATTTTCATAGATCACAGCACTTTGAATTGTAAATTAGAAACTGATATCTGAATACAGTCGATGTCCATGTATACGTATACTGTATCTATGAAAATTTCTGTGAAATTGTTTTCTTCTTAAAAATTTCTTTGGGCCCCTGACTACAGGTGAAAAAATTTGGAGATTTTCATTCCTATCGATCGGCTTGTAACTCGGAAAAAAGTTGCACAGGTATCATATGTCACATGTTACTTAATCAACGATTATTTGACTGAAACATACATGCTTTTGAGTGATAGTTGATTCTTCATTCATTCACAGCTAATTGTTAAAGGTGAGATAAAATACAAAGCTATTGTAACATTAAATGTTTTCATTTTCCTTCTTTTTTTCTTTCTTTTTCTCTCCATGTACCATGATTTATTCAATATCTGTTGGTTCATCGATGGATTGGTCAATAAATGGAATCCAATGTATCGCAATGGAAGAAGATGGAAACTCATCAATCATAACTGTATCATTTACAAATGTGGACTTACCCCCAAAATGATTCACTCGTGCGACATTCGATGATTGAGATTAGACAAAGAATTTTTACGAATAACTGTATCAGTTCCATTGGTCACTTGGGAATCACATTCACACTAGGCAAAAGCAACACAAACTTTAAAGCCATAAAGCTTAAAGGCACTTAAAGTACACATTAGACACAAATGGAGCCAATTTGAAAGGAAATGTCCGAAAGATGAAGTCACAAAAAAACACCAGGAAGTAAAAGGAGAGGGAAAAGTGAACCTTAAACTGGTGAAATGGGAAACATCGTAAGCCAGTGAAAATATAAAGTTATCAAAGGTTGATTATTATTAATAAAGGATGATGCTGATTACATGAAGATGATTGAAAAACGGTAAAAGAGATTGAAAATAAGATGACGATGGAAAGTGAGTGAACTTTCTCTCTCTTTTTCTCTCTTTCTAACGCAAACTCACTCTACTTATCAATAATACAGTCGACCCTCCGACAAAGAGTACAATAACAGGTATAACAAGAGGTAGCCGCAATGTTAACTTATAGGGAAAACCAACAGAACGCGATGGCGCCACCAACAACTCTTATATTTTTCTTTCATTTTCTCAACTTTTTTCAAAAAATAAGTTTTTGTTGAATTTATATTTATTTTTTGTCATTTTTTCGTCATTAGGACATTAAGCTTTCGATTTATGTTAATTTTTCATTTCCATTTCAATTTTTTCATCAAAAATATCAATAAGTTCTGACATCTTTAAATTGCTTCTTCAACTTTTACATATTGACTAGCTAATTAACTATAGTTAGTTAACTCTGATCAGGGACATCAATGACAGAAATTTTTGATAACCTAAAACATTTTGGAAAAGTTTACTCTTTAGACTTTTAGACACGAGCTGAAAATCTAGCTTTAAGTATAATTTAAGATTGAAAAATCTAGAAAATTTTGGACAAGATTTATATAAAATCAGTGGCTTGCCAGATTCAATGTTTAAACTCATTCGTTTTTTCGGTTAATTAGCGACAGAAAAGTTTTGTCTGATTTCATACTTGATGCAGGTAAACAAAATAGATGTTAGCTGTAATAAGACCTCACAGAATCGATAAATAGCTAAACTAAAGGCTAAATGTCATTAGACTTTAGCTTTAGCTTTAAGTCTGGTTGACTTTACCAGAGATGATGAACAAGAGCAAGATAATCAACAAGTTACAAAGAAACAATCAAGCCATACTGATGCCAAAGAAAGATCATTGTCCGTCCTAATGATCTTAGTTCTGTTAAATTCAATTGTATTTGTATCATTTAGCAGGTAAATGAATGAATAAATGTTGATTTTTTTCGCGCAATCAATAGTTAATTTTCATGTCAATTTGCGCGACTACAACAAAAAACGTGCAAACATTTATTGAACATCATTAATAACGATATTAAGTGCAATCTGATGATAATTAATGAACATTTTTCAACTCATTTCACAAGTTACATTAAAAAAGACACTAATTTATGCATTTAAAAGTATTACTTGAAAGTGGATTGTTACCTAAATGAAGATGAAAATTGGATGAAACTTACACTTTAACTCAACAAACACAAAAGCAAAGCCAAGTAAATAAATGAAGGAAAAAAGTAGAAAAAAAAGTTCATATTAATAATGATATTTTTTGTTCATTATTGTATTTAAATGTTAAATAACACAGATTTTTTATGAAATAAGCAAAGAAAAGGGAAAAAATTCACATTATCAGACTTATAATTTGAAGACTCTTTTCCATCTCTTTTTGTTGTACCTTAAAACATAAAAGCCAAGTTACCTTTGGTCTGCAATGTTTGTGCGTTAGGTCCAAGCACGCCTTTCATAAAGTTTTCACGTTTCAACGTGCAGCTTATTTTGTCTGTTTGTGTGAGGAGGGGTCAAGCCAATTTAATTAACAGCTAAAATCCATCATTAAAATGTTTCCTTTGCTTCACCATCAACATCATCAACAGCAACAACATCATCTCTTCATATTTTAACTATTCTTTCATTTTCTTCTTCATCATCATTCTCTTCCTTCTCATCATCATCTTTTTACAATTGAAGATTACTTTCAAAGGCAAAGACGCCCACTATTAAATAGCTACAATCAACCACTAAAAAGAGTCACTTTTACACTGGACTTACCTTTTAGCTTTCCTCTTATCATTGAACCGCTAAAAAAATATTGTTGAAGTAACTCAATTTTGTTTAAATAATAGTAATACATATTATTATATCTCGAGCTTTCTCTTCATCTTACCTTTTGTTGGTCAACATAAAGCCACACAAAATTAAGGTAATTTACTTGGATCAACATCTTTTTCACACTTTTTTTCCATACCTGTAACACTTGTATTTACACTCATTCAAACCTAAATTTCCTCTCTATTTACCAATTTAATATTTTCATTGACAATTTTATTTGATTTACTGACAATTTATCCCATTGAGACAGCAAATTAAATATTTAAAATATACTTTAAGACAATAGGAGACAAGAAAACAGTTGACCATCAAATGACAATTGCAAGTTGAAAAAAGGTTTCTTTTCTCACCTTTTTACTGAATTTAGTTGCTAGCGTAAATTAAGCAATTGAATCTGATTAGATGAAGATGAAAAAATTGTTTCCCTTTTCTTTGCTTATTTCATAAAAATCTGTGTTATTTAACATTTAAATACAATAATGAACAAAAAATATCATTATTAATATGAACTTTTTTTTCTACTTTTTTCCTTCATTTATTTACTTGGCTTTGCTTTTGTGTTTGTTGAGTTAAAGTGTAAGTTTCATCCAATTTTCATCTTCATTTAGCTAACAATTCACTTTCAGTAATACTTTTAAATGCATAAATTAGTGTCTTTTTTAATGTAACTTGTGAAATGAGTTGAAAAATGTTCATTAATTATCATCAGATTGCACTTAATATCGTTATTAATGATGTTCAATAAATGTTTGCACGTTTTTTGTTGTAGTCGCGCAAATTGACATCGAAATTAACTATTGATTGCTTGGCCGCGAAAACATAAACTTTATTCATGCATTTAGCTGCAAAATGATACAAGTTTCAATTGAATTTTACAGAAGCAGAATCATTAAGTTTATTAGCTTGAAATTTTCAACAGAGATTTTGTTATTGATATGTTCTGAGCTTCTTTTTATGACTTTAGATCAGGAAAGTTTTGAATCTGATCAAATCTTGCTCAATTTCATTGACAATACTAAGGCTTATTTCATCAAATAAAATCTTTACAATTGAATTAGTGCTGGGCGATTACACCAATTTCCATTATTATTCAACGATTATTATCCAATTTTTTCAATGAAAATAGATTATCATCGATAATGTATGTTTAGTGGAAAAACTCCATTCATAATGTAATGCCAAACAGCCAAAAAACGTAGAAACACACACCAAGATGAGCTTGAATAGCATGGTAAGCTGGGATTCAGATAAGAAAAACATCGATATTTGTGTCTTGATAATCGATTCATTATACTACAGCCTGAAAATGTCGATAAAATCACCCAATTGAATAACTGCGATTTTCTTGTTTTATCAACAGGAATTGAGAATAGATTTCTTAGGAAATTCATAGTTAAATTAATTTGTTTGCTCAATCCTTCTGAAAATTGGAATATTTTAAAGCTAACAAATGGTTTGTTTGTAATAACTTTAAATAAACTTTTAACTAATTTTCGTTTTCGAGACTACAAGAAAATCACTGGCAAACATCCTAATGATTTACTAGCGATTAGTTTTGATAATGGTTGCTGTCATGTAGTCATGTTTTTGGTTGTTGTAATACTTGAGCTTGATCATCTGACATGAAAGGATTTCATTTAAATTGTCAATAATTTGATTTCTAATACAAACTGCGTTCAATCAAAAATGGCTTGTAATTATTCAACTGTTGACCAAGTGAATGATGAAATTATTTCCATTGAGTTCATATGATCTTTCCTTGGCATCAATATGGCTTGATTGTTTCTTTGTAACTTGTTGATTATCTTGATCTTGTTTATCATCTCTGGTAAAACAATTAAAATAGATGGCGCTATCCATTTAATTAAAGTCAACCATACCATTAGTTAACACTCTTGAAGACTTAACAAAAGCAGCTCTATCTATTGTTTTACCCTTTACTTTTTTCCCTTTTCTTTGGCGATCAATTAGAAATCGAAATGACGAAAGAGGAAAAAGAAAGAGAAGAGAAAAATTATAACAGTGCCTAATTGCTTTATCCACCCAGTTTGTTAACTTATCGGAGGGTCGACTGTATTATTGATAAGTAGAGTGAGTTTGCGTTAGAAAGAGAGAAAAAGAGAGAGAAAGTTCACTCACTTTCCATCGTCATCTTATTCTCAATCTCTTTTACCGTTTTTCAATCATCTTCATGTAATCAGCATCATCCTTTATTAATAATCAACCTTTGATAACTTTATATTTTTCACTGGCTTACGATGTTTCCCATTTCACCAGTTTAAGGTTCACTTTTCCCTCTCCTTTTACTTCCTGGTGTTTTTTGTGACTTCATCTTTCGGACATTTCCTTTCAAATTGGCTCCATTTGTGTCTAATGTGTACTTTAAGTGCCTTTAAGCTTTATGGCTTTAAAGTTTGTGTTGCTTTTGCCTAGTGTGAATGTGATTCCCAAGTGACCAATGGAACTGATACAGTTATTCGTAAAAATTCTTTGTCTAATCTCAATCATCGAATGTCGTACGAGTGAATCATTTTGGGGGTAAGTCCACATTTGTAAATGATACAGTTATGATTGATGAGTTTCCATCTTCTTCCATTGCGATACATTGGATTCCATTTATTGACCAATCCACTGATGAACCAACAGATATTGAGTAAATCATGGTACATGGAGAGAAAAAGAAAGAAAAAAAGAAGGAAAATGAAAACATTTAATGTTACAATAGCTTTGTATTTTATCTCACCTTTAACAATTAGCTGTGAATGAATGAAAGATTGCATGAAGAATTAACTATCACTCAAAAGCATGTATACTTGAGTGAAATAATCGTTGAGCCTTAGATTTACTTGAGTCCACTCAAAAAAACAATCAACAGGCAACATAACATATCGAGAGTGTCATTTTGTTTCAATCTTGTTTTCCACCAAGTTGTAAGAGAATCGGTTAAATAATCAACAAACAATTAACAAATTAATTAGCACTAATTTTAACATGACACTTTCAAATAAATGTTTACACTTTCCTACTTGCTCTCAGCATTGTCAACAAATCAAATATGTCGCCATCTTGTTTCTTTATTTTCATCTTATTTGTTTAAGTTTCTTATTTCAATTATGATATCAGCTTCAGTTCAACAACCATAATTGTTTAAATTATCTTTCAATCAATTCATTTGAAAAATTAGCAGTAATTTTGGTTAGCATTGAGAATAGTTAGCCTTGCTTCATGTAAATTATGTTTTTTACAGCAATCTGTGTTTACAAATCAACTTTTACACCAGAGAACTGCATTTCTCGTATTACACTTTTTCATCTCTCCAGTTTTTGCTTCATCTTCATTACCATCATCACCATCATCATCAAAATTTATCATCTTCATTCTATTGTTTATTGCTCTACTAGCACATATTATCTTCTTATTGTTACCTTAATTGTTTTCTTTAAGTTTCATTGTTATGTATCATCGTCCTGTTTCCTCGCAATATCTACCTCTTGATAGATACTCACAGACTCACGAGTAAGAGACACTTGAATTGACTTAATAACTGATAATAGAGGTGCTCAGTGATTGCGATTGTGTAGTTTATTTTTCTCATAATTATCACTCACTCGTTGAAGACAATTAACAATATGTTTCTTTATTCCACCAACTTTAACTTTTGATTGTCATGTTGATTGCATGTGTCAATTTAATCCCATAGAAACAGGAAAAACAGTAAGCCATTAATAAATCACTGATTAGTTGGTCAAAACTGATCCCGGCCATCCATTCAACTAGTTTTTGTATTCCAGCTCATAAATGCATTGTAATGTGTATTTAGTATCTCGTCAATTATAATCTTTAGCTATTCTTTTGTTTTCATGATTGTAACACTGATTGTTATAATAACTCTACAATCGGCCATCAACACTTGAAAGAGGAGAAGGAATAGAGAAAAAAAAAGTTAGAAAAGAAAGTGAAACAATGAAAATTGAAGCTCATTTATGAACAAATTATAACAGTAGTAACAAATTTTGCGTCAGAATTGTCTTCTTATCGCAGAGTCTAAAAATGAGTAAATTCCAGTCGAAAAATTACGATTACAGAAAATTATTCCATTGGAGTTCAACTTGACCTTCTTGGGATAATTTTATTGCACTACCACCAGTTGCTTCTCTAAAGCTTTAGCTATTGTGATGTTCGTTGGTTCATTTTTTTATGATATTTCTTGTAACAAAAAGTTATTTGCTCAGAGACAATGAAAATACTTGACATTTGAAAAGTAGAGTCAAGAGAAATGAATATGAAAAGATTTAACGGAGAATCAAGTTTTCCTCAAATCGCTGGCCAATTGAAGAGAAAAGCTACTTTTCACTATGATTATCATCTATTAATAGTGGTTAATAAATTACTTAGCATTAAACTGAGAGAGAGAGAGAAATGAATGATTAACCACCATTAGTTAACTCTTAAACATTTTGCATTACAATATGTTTACATGTGTAATGTATTTTTGAAGGAAAGGAAAAGGGTAATCACTGATCGCCTTTTGTAAGGGAACATTGAGCTTCTCATGTCTACTTAACGCTTATTTCCAATGTACCGTGGACAATATTTCTTTTCGGGAAAAGATCGCTTAAATGAATTGCTATTATGACCACAGTCATGTTCAAAGATCATCCAATAGTTGTAATCCTTGCAGGTAATGATTGAAGAAGAAAACATGAATTAGGTAGGCTGAAGAAGAAAAGAAAAGAAAGAGAATTAGAATTAGAATGAGAATGAGAAGGAGGAGGAGGGAATGAAGATGATGGTGAGTATGATGAGCAAGAAGAAAAGGTAAGAAGAAGATGAAGATAAAAGACTAACACAAAGAGGACCACCGAGAGAGTGTTACCTGTGGGTGAAGACACATTCTCTGTGGATCGACTTGTGAGATGTACATTTTTAGTAAGCTGGATACAGATGATAGTGTAAAAGAAGGAGGTAAAACTATCTTTTACTTTCTCGCTCTTTCTCCACCTTCCCATGTGCATAAACTTGATGAGTATATTTACCTGGCCTTAAGACCTTAATTAAGGTGTCTTCTTCTCTCCTGTGGGCCAACACACTAGGCATAAAACTGTGTATTCAACCGCCTTATTATTGTAAAAGTCACACCATTAGCTGTTTTGTTGTCTTCCATTCAAATACTTACATCTCAATCAATACCATGGTTAATGAGTGACTTTTGGTTCCTTAACTTGTTGACAAAAGGATGAAAAAATTGTTCAAAATAACCATCCATCCGTAATAGCGTACAATTTCAGCAACTAATTACTAGCTATTAGTAGCTTTGATTTTATTTCCTTCAGCAGCCATTATTGATAACCAAACACTGATTGAGATGTAAAGTTTTGCTAGGTGTACCAGAGAGAATGGACGAGCAAAAATTCAATGCATTTTGCCGATTATGGCCAAATCATTATGATTAAAATGATCAGTAAATATGTACACAAGTAAATTTTTTAGTCAACATGTATTTCCTTGTAAAACCAGGTTACGCACCAACATTATCTGATCAATATGCTTGTTGAATACAGTTAAAGGCATTATCCTTTTTTTATTGTTTTGTTGCTTGCTTGGTAACAATGGGTCAATCCTAAGGAGGAGTAAAAAAATATTAGATACTAAAGGTTATTCTTGAAAACAAAATGATTAGTTACACTTGACTAGTATGGACGTGAAAATTGTCCAAATGGCCTTTAGCATCTTCGGTATTTGAAGATATTTTTGGAAACTTGACAGTAACCAACGAGGAAAAATGTAAAGAATTGATAGGTCACTTTGAGTTTGTTACCTGGTTTACTTACAATTAGATTCAATGGTTTAACATAAACAAAACAAAACATCGGTCAACACTAAACATGAGATGTAGCAACAGGAGAAGTTGAAAAATTAACAGCAATTTTTGGTATAAATCATTGAAAATGTTGACTCTCTTCTTTTCAAAACTCAAGTTGATCCTTTGATTGTTGAAATGACTCTTTTTAGTCTCTCTGTAACAATCAATTTTATTCAAGACAAAAATTCCTTCCTATAATATCATCATTATCATCATCATTACCAATCATCTATTCATAGATTGTTCAGTAAGCAAATATCATTATTGATTCAGTAATTCGTTTCACCCAAAGTAATATGGTTTCTTCCTCATTTTGCAATAAAACTTAAGGTGTGATCAATTGTTTACAACTAATAAGAGTGTTTGATAATAAATATTTTACAAGAAAATAGTTTTTTTGTGTTCAAAAACGCATTCATCTTGAAGCATAATAGGTAAAAAAGGTAATACTCTAAGTATAGGTAAGTATTGAAATAGTTTTGTTTGTTTGTGCTAATGTGATTGTTGCTGATGTTAATGTTGTTAGTTAAAAGAAGTTCAATTGAATTTTGTGTTGATACTAATTATGAAATGATTCTGGTTACAGAAGGCAAAGAAGAAACAGACTTGATGTCAAATATAATGATATAGTTAACAATCAAATTATATTTTTCTTCAACCTTTCAGAGACTTAAATTAAGATAGTAAAAAGGTCTGAATGAAGCTTCTATAAATGACGATTACATATGATGGTAATGATGCTGGATGATGATGTTGTTGCTGATGAAGATGATATTTGTCCATCAGAGAGAGAAACTGTTCAGCCAATCAATCATAAATCATTGTTTCTATTATAGGTATAACCATTGAATTTGTATTGAACCTTTAACTTTTTTACTAGAATGTATCACAAAGATGGATTCCATATGGAAAGAGAGAAGAAGGAAACTCATCGTCATTTTTACACTTATCTCGTACACTGTTTTTGATTTACTTGGATCCTAATCTTTGTCTTTTTTTTCTTGTATATTTACTCGGCAGTACGGGAATGAAACTTGTTTTAGATCCGAATAAAATCTGCCGTAAAGCAGGTCGATTGAAAAGTAAACAAACAGGTATTTGTGAAAAAGAACCGGAGATCATTCGGGAAATAACCAAAGGTGCCAAAATTGCCCGTAAAGAGTGTGAATATCAGTTCCGTAATCGTCAATGGAATTGTACATCAACGCGAAGGTCGATGAGGAAGATCCTTTTGAGAGGTAAACGTCTAAAGATGTCTGTTTGCTTTACCCACTTCTGGAAGCTTTAAGCTTTTAATTTGATATGGAAGAAGAAACAAATAACATGGAAAGCATTAATTGATTTGATTGTTATTTTAAAAGAAATGAGACACGCGAATAGAGTGAAGACAGAGAGAAAGAAAGAGTGTTAGAAAATAAGGAATCAATTAAAATACCGAAAGAGTAGAAAGTTGAAAATGTTTGCACATTGAATTGATTCTTTTTCCATCCATTTGTTTTTATCTGTTTCCTCAATTTACTTCAGATGATCTGAAGGTTGCTTGACTATCAATAAAACTGTGAATGTTGATTACTGTACTCTCCTCAGATACTCGGGAGACTGGTTTCGTTCATGCTATCACAGCAGCTGGAATGACACATAGCTTGGCTAAAGCGTGTAGCCAAGGAACTCTTCTCGATTGTTCTTGCCTTATGATGTCCTCTCCTCAATCAGATAATTCACTTTCTCAAGATTTTGATTTCCGTGGTTGTGGGGATAATGTTGATTTTGGGTATAAAAAGTCTAAAGAATTTTTGGAAAGTAGATTGAAAAAGGGCCATGATGTCCAAACGCTGGTCTTAAGGCACAATTATGAAGCAGGACGATTGGTAAGTCAATTTATCTAGTCAGCAAACATTGCTTGTTGGTGATGATTTTCAAATTAAAAAAACACAATAAAAAAATTAAGACTTCAGTTGAATATTCACTGAATATGAATTTAACTACAAACTGATATTCATATTGAAAAGATAAAGAAATTTTGAGGCAACGTGTTACTCAGTGCGGTTTTAAGTTGATTAATTTTAAGACAAAGAAACTGCTATTGAAAACATACTAGAGAAAACCGCTCAATTTTGCACTATGACAATGTGAATAAGCTGTTATCTCCAAAATCAAACGTTTTTTAAATTGAATAAGTAACAAGAAGGCAACTTTTATGGTGCTGTTAAGTGAATAAGTAGTGACTAATTAAGCGTTTATCATTTGGTTGTTCGTAAATAATTGTTTTATAGTTAATTTAGAATCTAAAATTATTAATTTATTTAATTTAAAAAATATTTACAAACATATAAGACAGTTGTTTTTGTTTATTGTGCATTTTCATCACCTCAAGTGACTAGTTTTTGGTTTTATAAATGTTGAACGTTTTATATTACAATTTTACACTAATTGGCAATTTTATCCTCTATGTTTCCAATTTAATTGAAATTTCTCGATTCCATCAAAATAATCTTTCTGTTTTTTTCCTTTCCTATTTTTCAGGCAGTCAAAATGAACATGAAAAAAGCGTGTAAATGCCACGGAATGTCGGGATCTTGTACAGTCCAAACGTGTTGGTTAAAATTACCACATTTCCGTGAAGTTGGAGCTATTTTAAAAGACAAATTTGATGGTGCTTCAAAAGTGATTGCCACAAATGATGGCCGCAGTTTTACTCCTGAAATTAGCTCAATCAAATTACCAAGCTCAGAGGATTTGGTTTATTCGGAGGAATCGCCCAACTTCTGCGAAGCTGATAGATCAACTGGTTCATTAGGTACTCATGGGCGTGAATGCAATATTACATCAAAGGGTGTTGACGGCTGTGATCTGCTTTGTTGTGGTCGTGGTGCGAGAAAAGAGCAAATAAATGTCAACAAGACTTGTAATTGTCGATTCAATTGGTGCTGTGAAGTAACTTGCAATGTATGCCCACAAAAAATGACGATATACTCATGCAAATGAAAAAGTGATACGCCGTCAAAACGTGAACTTCTTCCTCTTTTTTTCTTTCATTTTTTCCTGTCAATCAAACAGAAAAAAACTGTTCCAGTTTTGTTTGAAACCAAACAAATGCAACAATCTCTTCAAATTTATCTCTACTTTTCTCTCGATCAGATGCTCAGTTCATGCAGGAATCTAAACTGATTTGAAAACTCATAAGCCTGTTGAAAAATATGACTGACATCGAGTAATCGACGAAGTAAAATGAACCGCCAACCCAAGCTGTTTGATCTGCTGAAAGCCATCAATTGCATTTGTAAAATGCTCTGTTATTAATCTTCATACAACATCAATTTTCATTATTGAACCCGCCGATCCGTCACTAAACACATTAAGCATCTCTTGTTGTCTGCGAGAAGATGGCGGCTTTTGAATCAAGGAAATGTTTCCATCCGGATCCAGGAGTATTCGTGATTCCACCAGTGTTCGTTAAACGAAACCTGTGCATCTGAAAAAAATGAATATGAAATCCGATTGAACCCGATTCTGGACACCATTTGGGTCTTGCACACTTCTTGTTTGGCTGCTCGATCCAATTAATTCTGAATCCAACTTGTGAATACATTTGTATCTGTTTTTGTTATTTTGCAGTCGAGCTCTTTGAGGATTCAACCAACAACAAGAATGTGAAAAACATGAGCTGGTCACATATGTTGAAACTAACTTTGAATCAAATATTTAAGAAAAGTTTTAAGGTACAACTTTGTTACCGCATTTTTTATATCAAATTGTACAACCTAATAATCATGATTGCCATTTTCATCTTTACCATCAACATATCCATCATCATCATCTTCATTATCATCATCGTGCATTTAATGGAAGAAATCCAATTGCATCCATTTTTTAACAAAATTATAAATAAATGTGAAACAAATTTTTGTCTATGAAAAATAGATGAAAAAACGTTTATCTTTCACTCAATTAATGAGATCAATAAAAATGTAATTATGCTTGAACTTGAAGGATTTCACAAAATTATCGGTTTGTTGTGAGGAGGGACAATTATTTGTAATGAAATCAACTTGAGTTGAATGCTTTTGTTTAAAATGGTAAACCAACGTTCTCAGGCTTTATTTGGCTCGCCTATCCTTGGTTGACGTATAAATTAATGGATAATTTTTTTTCTCCTCATTATATCACTTGGGTTTTTGGCCTCTGTTTTAGCTGTCTAAATCGACAATTTTTGATGTCTTATTTAGTGGTGGAAACGCTGGAGTCACATCTTTCACTTGTTTCAGGTCGAGCCACCCAAGTTAATATCCATTTCAGATTTGTAAGCATATATTTCAATGCTTTGGTCCATTCCTCCTCCGAATTATATTGGATTCTGAAAGACAGCAACAGAAAGAAAGAATAGTAAATTTGTTAAAAAAATATGTCAATTGGAAGGGAGGATTTAAGTAGGTAATTTGGAGGAATTAAGATTTCACTAAAAGGTAAGGTTAGTCCAAAAAGTGAGAAACTGGGTAAACTTTTTAACAAGTAACAAAAAAAGAGAAGTTAAGATTCCCATGTAAGTCTATGGAAGAGGAAATAGCCTAAAGGTTTGTTCGTAACGTGGGTCAATCACGAGGTCTACTAATAAAAGGGCGTCTTTATGTGTTCTCTTAGTGTTTATACCTTCGTCGATGGTAAATACAGGGTAAATGTGTTTACTAGGAACGTAAAGCAGCAAAATGAAAGTTACGGGTGGTAACTTCATCTCAATTAGAAGTAAGCTTAAAAAAAGTAAATTCAACAACACCATAAAAGAGTTCAGCCAAATTTATAGTCGTTTTATTTTCTCGTATTAATTTCTTGACTTCAATAAAGGATAGATGGATAGTAGATAGAGATGAGAGTAAAATATCTTCTTCTTCACCACCATCATCATCTTTATCATCATCTTTTAAATCTCAAAATAGTTTGGTTTCCATCTTTTCTTGTTCTCGGTAAATATCTTTACACTTTCATCTCAATTTACTCAAATTGCTTAACTTTTAACATTATAATAATTTTGAGCAGATAAATGAGAATAAAATTTTAGTATTATAACTCAATTATTTTAAATTTAATCTTGACAAGTTTATCGAGTGAGTTGAAATATTGATTCCACTAATTTTTCAAGTCGTAATTCAAGCAATAAAATAAAATTTGAGATAAATTTTCCATAGATTCGTTAGCTATTGAATTACTTGATAAAACAATAAAGGCTTGAAAGATTTGAAAATTGAAGTTAGCAGTAAGATCCTAACAATTTAAAGCTGTTGCTTCAATGATCAGATTGAATACAGCTCATTTAAAGTATACAAAGTCAATGATTGGTTATTGTAAAATTGAAAAACAGCATTAAGTTGTCATTTAATGATCATATTAAATGGCAATTAACTGAAAAAAGATCTTTTCGGAGTAAACTAATTTATTAATTGCAACATTAGTGTAGCGTTTATTGATATTGCCTGGTGAAAAAAAGAAATAGAAGAGAGTAAAAGTAGAACATGTGTTTCGAGTAAGGCGTTTATCATGAGTAATCAGTGCTATTATTATCATACTATTAGATCATACTAATAGAGTCTAATTTTAAAATTGAGAGATTTCAGAGTTATGTTTCAATAGTTTTAAGTATCTATGGCGAGCTTTGCTATGAATAACTTATTAGGGCAAATTGAATGATTAAACACACAAACAAAACCCATTTTACCTGGAAAGCCAAGTAAATCGCAGAAATAGCGTGAAATATCATACAAAAAGGTAACGCTTTCTCACTAGCGAGTTTCCTGTCAATTAATGACCAACTGGGTTTACCTAATGAAACTGCCTTTCCAAATATCTCTTCAACATTGAAACCCAGAAAGTGTACAAAGAGACAACACGGGTAACCGAAATTAACACAGTTTAAGGTTAAATGTCTACAAATAACTTCTTCATGAACCTGATAAGAAACTGAAATAAATTAAAGAAAGAGATGAAATACAAGAGAGAGAACCACCAACGTGGTGTGCCTTTCACTCTCGATTTAGTCCAATTTTACGCTCTGATGGATCCATTCACTAAAAGTATGCATATTCTTACTCTTTTTTCTTGTTTCTTTTCTCTTCTTCTTCACTTTCTTTTTCATTATCAACTTAAGCCTCTGGTTAAATATTAAATTTTGTGGTTCAGATGAACACGACTAAGCAAGGAAAATGGTAATAATAATAATAAAATAATAGCAGCTTTACCTTCATTTTCTCATCATAAGTCTCTTTTTTCTTTGCTTTTTATTGCTTTACTTTTACACTTCTCACACTCCGTAAACTCCCTCTCGATTTGATTATCTCAGACAGAATATCAGAAAAAAATGTAGAAATAAATAAGAGATTATTTACCTAATAGAATAGCAATTGTTTCGTTTTGTGTCTTCTATCTTTTCTTTGTCCATTCTGAAAGTATAAAAAGATAAGAATAAGGTGAATTGTCAAAATAGGTTTTGTGTAAAACATGTCAATTTTTTAACCAAACTTGCGCTTTTACCTGTATGGACAATACCAGGATTTATCGACTCTTTCAATTTCTGCAACGACTTGAGACATACAATCAAGAAAAGCTATCATAGCTTGATCAAATTTGTTATTGAGTAAGTATCTAAAGCCACCAGATCCATATCTAAAAATGTGTTAGTAAAAAAATAATTGATGATTTACAAACTCATAATCAAAATTTTAAGACAATGAAATGCAAATAAAATAATTGAGATCTTACAAAGGAAGCTCTTTTGGTTTATCCTCTAAGGTTTCAATGAATGAATGGTTACCATAGGGAACCAATCTGTATCTTTCAAAAGTTAGGTTAATTTTTCTAGCAAGAGCAAACAATAGCAGAGTAGTTTGACCCCAAGCAGCGTTTATCTCCGTCCAATCAACTGGATGATTTGGTAGCCGTCCCAAGCGGAATCCATTAATAGTACCGAAGTGTCCACTATACCTGAATAGAATGAAGAAACAAATGTGTGAAAATTCGGGTATCGCTTATTTTTATGCTTTAATACAAACCAAATGTGGAAGGTCGCGTTGAAAACATTGGTTTTGCGTAATATATCGAGATGTCTTGTTATATATTTTTTGGAATTTTCAACGTTCAATCTTTCATCATCGATTTCAAAAAGAGTCTTTTTTAGATAATTGTGCTCTCTTTTGAATTTATCTTTCTCTTCCAATAAAACATTGATTTCTGCTTCTTGAGCTTGAATCTTTTCATCAAACTTTTTCTTTTGTGCTTCAACTTTGGTCAATTCTTCGATCAATCTAGAAAATTAAAAAGAACAGTTATAGAAACAATAGATTTCATGAGATTAAGAAAGAGAAATGAAATGTTTACCGTTTTTCTTCTAATTGTAGCTGAATAACGCGCTGTTGTAGGTGCTCCAGATTAGATTCTGGATTATCATTTTTCGTCTTCTTCTCTAATTTTCCAAGGCATTCTCGGTACACCTTACACTCCTCTTCAAGTGTTTTAAGTTTTTGGTCCATTTTGTCGATTAATGAGTCAGCACAGTCTTCACACAAAGGATGATCAACGATTGATTTATCAGAGAGTATGTCAAATAGTTTACTAGTGATCCTCATATCGTGTCCCATATCGAACATTTCACGAATTGCCAAATCATGTGACTTAGTTTCTAACATTGAATCACCGATGATCAAAAAGCTATTACTGGCACTCTGATGCTCTTCCAAACCTGAACTGTTATCATCATATTCAGAGTCTCCAGTTTGACTCAATTCACCTGTTGTGGCGATATGTCCATCAAGATCTAGATTTCCAGAAAGCTCACTTAATGTTGAACCATCAATTTGAGATAAAGATGAGTGTATTATCAAAGGCTGGCTACAGTTTTTACAGAAATAGGAACGATTCGATGAAGAAGCCTCCATGATTGTTAGCAGTTAGAAATGATAAAATTAAGAAATAAATACGATAAATACTATAAATAATCCAATCTCAGGCGAAACAACAAGGATTAATCACATATCAACAAATTGAATATTTACTATTTTTTAGATTTGAAAACAAAAAAACATTGGAAGGCCATCTACTGGTGGAACTACATTATCAACAAAAAAATTGGATAAAGAACTCTCTGAGAATAGCTTATTTATACTATCGTGCTATTTTCCCAGGTTTAACAGTAAATCACGAAAAAATGGTTTATCGAACCAAAAATTTGCTTATCAAGAAATTTAATTAATTGTTAAGCTCATAGGCTTATCAATTTAACAAATCACTAAGATTAAATTGTTATTATTAAAGTATAAAATGTAGTAAACAAAAAAACTTTATATATTAAAGGGATTGTCTCTTAATATACTTATATTCTGGTTGTGTCATTACTTGTTGGGTTCACTTTTACACAATTGTTTTCCACGTTTACTTATAGCTAAAGTAGAAAGCTTTACAAATATTCGGTCGTTTTTAGGACTTTAAAGGATAAATTGGTGTACTACCTAATCTTACGTAAGTATAAATATGATTAAAATGTAGATTAAACTGTAAATTAATTGTAAATCAATTAAATAGAGCGCCAACCAAAAGAAATATTATAACCATCCCTTGTTAAGTCATTTCTTTACTGTGAAAATTAACTTGTATCAATCTAAAACCTTTTAAATTGTGACCTAACCACATCTAATAATTTATTAATTTAGTTGTTGAAAAGATGGCTTTAAAACGTATTAAGAAAGAATTGGAAGATTTAAAGAGAGATCCTCCTGCCCAATGTAGTGCTGGACCTGTTGGTGATGATTTGTTTCATTGGCAAGCAACTATAATGGGACCTCCAGATAGTCCATATCAAGGCGGTGTATTCTTTCTAACAATTCATTTTCCAACGGATTATCCTTTTAAACCACCCAAAGTAGCTTTCACAACGCGAATATACCATCCTAATATAAACAGTAATGGTTCTATTTGTTTGGATATACTGA